AGTGGCTCTTAGCCACAAGGAATAGATAGGAACTCTCAGTCTGGGGCAAGGGATGCTCTGTATTCTTGGTGCCTGGGGGGGGGGGCAACAGTGGAAGGGCTTCTAGTATCCTGGCCCCACTGATGGACCTCCTGATGGCACCCGGTATTTCTGGCCACTGTGTGACAGAGTGATGGACTGGATGGGCCATTGGCCTGATCGAAGATTGGCTTCTCCTATGGTCTTATGGATAAGCATATGGAGCAGAGGTCCATTCAGTGGCTCTTAGCCACAAGGAATAGATAGGAACTCTCAGTCTGGGGCAAGGGATGCTCTGTATTCTTGGTGCCTGGGGGGGGGGGCAACAGTGGAAGGGCTTCTAGTATCCTGGCCCCACTGATGGACCTCCTGATGGCACCCGGTATTTCTGGCCACTGTGTGACAGAGTGAAGGACTGGATGGGCCATTGGCCTGATCCAACATTGGCTTCTCTTATGTTCTTATGTTTCTGCCTGTGATTTAGCGGTTTTTGGACTTTCCCCCCCTTTTCTCTTTCTTTGGTCCACATAGGAACACCTTCGTACTGGAATACTGTGGAGAAGTGCTGGATCACAAAGAATTTAAAGCACGCGTTAAAGAGTATGCCCGAAGCAAGAACATCCATTACTACTTCATGGCGTTAAAAAATGACGAGGTGAGCATCCGTTCTCCCTGTGCATCTGGAAGACTGTAACATGAATAAATGAGATGCCGGAATGAAGTTCTCAGCAGAGAGACTTGGCAGCTGGGGAAGCCGTGATTCTTTTTCTGATGCTCTTTATTTAGGGGAGAGAGGGTTGCATTTATAATTGCACAAAATGGCGATATAATATTCCCACCATCTTCTTTCGACCACTTGTTTATTATATATGCCTGTATTGTAACTCTGATCTAAGAACAAACTGCCCTTAATAAATATGCAGTATTATTTATATGCTTTTAATGCATATTGTCTCCAGTGGTCCCTCTAAGCTGTGGAGTCTTGTGAGCAAAAATGGTACTTTGTGAGGTCCTGGCATTAAAGTTGTGAGTGAGCGATTTGGCGACTGCATAAATTAGTTTGCTCCGGAGCCCTCCTTCCTGACCAAAGACAAAAATGTATGAGCCAGAGGCTAAGAAACTGTGAGCCAGCTCACACTAACTCAGCTTAGAGGGAACGCTGATTGTTTCCCATATTTAATTCTCACCTGTTGTGTGCATGTCTATCATAAGAATATTTTGAAATGTCTTACTTTCTGTGTTGTGGGAACTGGGTATTTCCAGCACTGAACTACTAGTATATAAGCACATAATTAAAGTAAATGGAATCATTTTTGTAATGCATAGCATTTCCCCTTAGCACAGAATTGTACGTAGGTGGAATTCCAGTTGTAAGCCATGTTTGACTATAAGGTAAGATGCAGTTCTAAAGTGGGGCATGTAAATGCTGTCTTTCATTTCCCTTCCAGATAATAGATGCCACTCAGAAAGGAAACTGCTCACGTTTCATGAATCACAGCTGTGAACCAAACTGTGAGACACAGAAGGTGAGTTGCAGGATGAAGCCCTGTGAATCTGTGGCTGATGAATGCATCATTCTCATATAGCAACGGCCCAAATGCAAATACACAAAACGTGTGTGGATGGCTCTGTGTGGCTAGAATGCTCTGCATATTATATTCATTATTATAGAATCATAGAATGTTAGAGTTGGAAGGGACCTTGCAGGTCATCTAGTCTGCACTCTGCAGGACCATAGCCGAAAGATAACCCTACAACATACCCGGAAGATGGTCGTCCAGCCTCCGCTTGAAAACGTCCAGCTGCTGGTTTAGTACTTTTTCCCCACCATAGAGAACAATGGAGGGAATAGGGGCAACCTGTTTGGGGGCCCGCAGAATTGGACCCCCTGGTCCAATGTTCTTCAAACTTGGTTGGTATCTTGGGGAGAGGCTCCAGCAGCTACCCTGCGAGTATGGAGCCTCTCCCTCAAACCCCCTCCCCTCCAGCCCCCAGAATATACCCTATGTTTTCGCCATTGACTTCAATGGCCCATAGGATATAATGGGTCTGAAACGGACATTCGGCTGGCCAAAGACTCCTGAATTGGCTCCTATTGCCGAAATTGACATGCAGGAGTCTTTATGCTGGCTGAAATTGATTCTGCCGAATTCTGCCGAATCCGAATCGGGCCGAATTGTTTTCTATTGCACACCCCTAGTCCTCGTCCCTTCCGTAGAGAGAGATCAAGATGGGTAGCTGTGTTATTCTGTCTGAAAGAGCAAGAGTCCAGTGGCACCTTCAAGACTAACAACATTGGTGGCAGGTATCTGAAGAAGTGAACTACCACAGTTGGTGTAGTGGTTAAGTGCGCGGACTCTAATCTGGGAGAACCGGGTTTGATTCCCCACTCCTCCACTTGCACCTGGCTGGATGACCTTGGGCAAGCCGTAGTTCTGATAAGAGCTGTCCTTGAAAAAGAGCCGTTTCTGTCAAGAGCGCTCTCAGTCCCGCCTACCTCACGGTGTCTGTTGTGGGGAGGGGAAAGGAGAGGATTTGTAAGCCGCTCTGAGACACCTTTGGGTAGTGAAGGGCGGGGTATAAATCCAATCTCCTCCTCATGAAAGCTCCTACCCTTCCACGAATGTTGTTAGTCTTTAAGTCTCTATAGTTACCTGCTAGAGGTTTTAAGCAAATTGCAGTTCCTCTGGTGTTCATTAAAGATGGCTGGGGCTTCCTGGAAATAATACGATTAAGTATCTTTTAATTTTATCTGGATGAACTGGTGCAATCATGCAGCCATCTCTTCTAATATTGGTTGGGTGGTGAAAGTCTTTAAGGCACTACTGGACTCTTGCTTTTTTGTCCCTGCCATCTACATCAGTGGTTCTCAACTGGCGGTATGTGTACCACCCATGGGACGCAGAAGAAGTCTAGGTTAAGAGGCAGAGTTTTCGTAACAGTTACTAAGATCGTCCGTTCCCCCCCACCGCCTATGTGCACCTGCATATGCGATGTGCCATCTCCTGCCGACCCTGCCTGGCACAGATTATCCATCTGTGACCTTCCAGCATGCTGGCAGTCACTTTAAGCCACTTGCCGTGTCTCCTAATCCCCTGTTCTCCTGCCCACCTGCAGGTGTCTTTGATCCGTTGATCCTCGCCGACTCTGCTTGCCAAGTCTTATCCATTGCAGTTTATTTATTTATTTATTCAATTTCTGTACCGCTCCATCACGGAGGCTCTGAGTGGTTTACATGGGCATTTATAACTTTCTAACTAGGGCCACACAATGTATAGGGAAGGTGAGTGCCTACGGGGCACCATGCCGGCTTCTTTTTGATATTCTTCTTTCTGTGGCTTCCTCGTGGTGGGTTCTATCAAAAATTTGCAGTTTTCTGCATCCTTGAAGCTTATTGCAAACGATAGATATAATAAATTAATGCCTGTAACGTCCTTGGGGAGGAAAGCTGGCTTGTTGGGTTTTGTTTTTTTATCATGGGGGGACCCAGGCTCTTTGACAGAGCGATTGGTGGGACATAAAATGCCAAAGGCGGAGAACCGCTGGTAGACATGATGGACTTTTTTCTTTTTTAAAAAAGAGTTTTATTAGTTTATATATAGAAAGGGGGGAAGGGGAAAAAAAGGGTACAGAGTTCTCTACAAAAAATCCAATTTAACATTCTGCATGCAAATCTTCTCCTGAAAGTTTCACAACTATTATAACCATCTTTCTTATTGTTCTTCATTTAGTCTTAGTTTCTTAGTACTTATGTCTACCAGTCATAGAACGCCCTCCACGGTCCCATAAATTCTTCTTCCATTTTTCCTTTTAGTATATTTGTCAGTCTGTCCGTTTCAGCACATTCCATAATCCTCATTATCAACTCATTAAGCGTTGGGATTTTCAATGTGTCCTCCATGTCGTTGCGAATAAGATTCTGACTGCTGTTATGTAAAATAAAAATATCTGTGGTTCTTATCTAAGTCATCTGCTAGACAGTTTAACAGGAATGTTTCTGGCTTAAAAATTATTGTAATATTCAGGTGGACATTTTTCTTGATCCAACAAGGAGGTTCTTATGAACTGGAGCTGCTGTTGGGAAGTAAACCTTGACATCATCTGACTCTTCCACGCTGGAGAAAATGAATGCATTTCAGTGTTCCCAGTATAAGTAGAATGCTGCGATTTGCAGACATGCAATGAAAACAAGTTAGAAATAAAGCAGATTTCTGCTTTGCATGGTTTCCCTTTGTAACAGCGTGATGCCAGGTATTCCAGCTGTGCACAGCTGTTTTTGGAAAGCACATTGATGTTAAAATGACATGCTGCAGTTAGTGTACTAAGCATATTATTTGTTTCGCTCTCTCCTACCTCAGTGGACTGTAAACGGACAGCTGAGAGTCGGCTTTTTCACCACCAAATTGGTCCCATCGGGCTCTGAGCTAACGTTCGACTACCAGTTCCAGAGATATGGGTATGTGCTTGCCTTCAGTTAATTGCTTCGTTACCTTGTATTTTCAGGAGGGTGGCCATGTCGCTCTGCAGTAGGACAGCTAGGTTTGAGGCCAGTAGCACCTGAGAGACCATCAGGATTTTGGGGTAAAGCTTTACCCTGAAAATCATGTATTTTTAATAGAGAGGTACATCGCCCTAATTCTAAATAACTGTTACCATCATTCCAGGGTGGACTCCTTCCGACCTCTTAAGAGAATCAAGTGCTTCCTTTCTAAAAGAAATAATAAAATGAGATGCCTGGACTTTCCAAACTTCACTGTGTGTGGGAAGTCTCCTTGGTCTTGAGTTGTCTGAACAGGGCAGAATTACAGGCATTGAATACACTCCAGAGCAGTTTCTGCTTCTGTGCATGAGAGACTAAACCATGGATTCAGTTTTCAAGGGAGTTCCTTACCTGAGTAGCCCAGGCTAAGCCAGATCCCATCAGATCTCGGAAGCTAAGCAGGCTAGTATTCAGCTTGGCTAGTATTTGGAAGGGTGACCTCCGAGGAATACTAGGGTCGTGGTGCAGCGGCAGGCAGTGGCCAACTACCCCTGCAGCGTCTCTTACCTTAAAAACAAGTCTAGCTAACTACCTAGTGGTTCATAACGCTAAAAGAGCTAGAACTTCTGGCTGCCGGACAATCTTAGGATCTCCTGCCTACTTTACACACAAGGCCATATGATTATTATATTATGATCGTTACTATTCTCTGTGCAGGTGGGTCACCATGTTGTTCTGGAGCAGTAGAACGACATCTGAGTCCAGTGGCACCTTTGAGACCAACGAAGTTTTAATTCTGGGTATAAGCTTTTGTGTGCATGCATGTATCCGAAGAAGTGGGCATGCACATGAAAGCTTATACCGAGAATAAAAATTAAACTATAAAAACACTAACATTTAGAATACCATAAAAGCCAAAATGATTAAAAACGGCTGTCCTATCGGCAGACTGCAGTAGTTTGAAAACGTTTTGTCCATCTGCAGGGTACTTGCAGATAGAGCTGAGGGGGGGGCCAGATGAACCCCCGGGGGGGGGGGGCGCTCCAAGGTAGTGCCCAAGAGAATTGTACTTCTTTAGAGGCCCCTCTGGCCTCCAGTGGACACACTAAGCAACAAGGCAATCCCCAACTCCTCTAAATTACTTTGGAAGCTTTTAATTGGGGTACATTCTGTGGCTGTCTGGATGCATAAACCAGTACTGTGAGGCAGAAACAGAATCGTTCATAACTGTGGCCAAGGGGATGGTTTCTTCCAGGGGTCATTTCATAGAAAAAGAGGTGCAGGCGCTCATTAGCATAACTTATTTGCATAGGCCACGCCCCCTGACATCACCGGAAGTGTGTCAGAAGGCAACACCCACCGCTCAGGCTCCACTGGACTGTTTTGGATTGCTAGCTATTGGGGGGGGGGGGAACGTGCAGATCGGCCCTCACAGAGGAGGGAGCTGTTTATACAACAGGCCTGATTAACCAATCAAGAGTATGGATGGGCAGGAACTGGCTCACGAACTAAAGTTTGTGACTAATGTTAGCCAATTTGTGGTTCATGGACTTTCACAAAGTTTTAGTAATGTTAGTGGTGACTTGTGAACAGAGATAGACTGGTGCTGACCAATTAAATTGTTTACAAAACTCCAAGGCAACAGGGGGGTGGAATTATCCAGCCTTGGAAACACCAATGGGTCCCTCCAAACCTTAACAGGCTCTGCTGGCCGCCAATCACAAAGTTCCCATTCTGCTCTATGGGCTCAGAACGCATATTCATCACCTCTGCACATACCCTCTTCTTTGTTGGCTGGTGAACTGCGAGAGAGGCACGGAGCTAGCAGAACAGAGTTATTACTTTGTTTTCTGCTTGTGATTTGCTCTCTGCTGTTGGGTAACTCAGCTTAGAGGGAACATTGGTGTTCCCGTCCCGTCCCCCGATACTCATTACTTGGGAGATTTAACCTCAAGGGCAGGGTTGGAACTTCTGGTGCTGTCCCACGAACACATGGAGCTGGCTTATTCTGTATCGATCCATCAGGGTTAATATTCTCAGATGGGCAGCAGCTCTCCAGGGTTGCAGGCTGAGGCCTTTCCCATCACCTACCGCCTGGTCCTTCTAACTGGAGATTCTGTCGGGGATTGAACCTGGGACCTCCTGCATGCCAGGCAGAGGCTCTTCCGCTGAACCACTACCCCCACCCCCACCCCGTGTCAATGACAGCAAGTTTCCACTCTGTTGAAATGTGCATGGTAAAGAGAAAGGAATGTTAAGAGTCAGATGCCCGTCACAGGCATCTCAGTTGTGATAGTTAAGCAACCAGGGGCAGATCTTGGCGTAGAACTTGGAAGAGTCTGGAGTGTAGTTGTCTTCGCTTCTAAGCCATTTCTCCCAGATGCAAGGAGGGTATTGTGTGTGTGTGTTTGTGCATAAAATTTTTAAAAGCATATGTTTGCTTGCTGTATATTAGTAGATTTGTCTCTCCACACACTGTCAATAAAGCATGAAACTGTTGTTCTTCCAGAAGTATTGTAAAACTTCCCTCTATGTTCGTTCCAGGTCAGTAGGATAAGCTAGGAACAGGTGGTTCTGCTTTGTAATGGATTTTTATATCTTTCCTTTTAAACCATTACCTTCCTTGAGCTCTTGGGATAGGATGGGCGACAAGGTGATGAAAGCTGTGCCTTATGTTACAAAAACAATCCGCCTAAGACTTCCGTCTTTCCTGTGCTGATGGGTCTCTTATTCAAACAGCAAAGAAGCTCAGAAGTGTTTCTGTGGCTCCACCAACTGCCGAGGCTACCTTGGAGGAGAGAACAGAGTCAGCATCAGAGCCGCCGGGGGCAAAATGAAGAAGGAGCGGTCTCGTAAAAAAGATTCGGTGAGTGTGGGGCGAGGAGGGGGCCCGAAGGAGACACCTCTTGTTGCTTCATGCTGGGGTCTCCGTGTGTGCCTTCGGGGTCATGGCCCCTCCTGACCGTCAATCAGAGAAGCTTTGATTGATGGGTACACGGGAGAGGGCCTTTTTGGTGGCAGCCCCCATGATCATGGAACAACCTCCCCTATGAGTTGCATCTGGCCCCCTCACTTTCCAATATTTAGGAGGCAGTGGAAGGTCGTTTTTTAGCTGTTGTAGATTTCCCGGGTTACATGGCCGTGGTCTCGGCATTGTAGGACCTGACGTTTCGCCAGTAGCTGCGACTGGCATCCTCAGAGGTATAACACAGAAAGACGGAGTACTCTCTACATCAAGGTGAGAAGAAGAAAAATGGTAGGCAGGTAATTTATATCTACTCAGGAAGGTGGGGTAGGGCTGAACTCCTACAAGATAATGACTCAGCCCTACCCCACCTTCCTGAGTAGATATAAATTACCTGCCTCTCATTTTTCTTCTTCTCACCTTGACACAGAGAGCCCCTCCATCTTTCTGTGTTATACTGGAGAAACGTCAGGTACTACAATGCCAAGACCACGGCCACACAGCCCGGAATGTCTACAACAGGTGATGAACTCCGGCCGTGAAAGCCTTCGCCAACGAAGATAGTTTTATTTAGGTCTGAAGTTCAGTAGCACTTCTGAGTAGTGATTTCAAGTTTTGGTATTTTGTGTGTATGTGTTTTATTTGATGCGCTTTTATCTATGTTAGTCAGCTCCCTTGGGCTCCGCAAGGAAAGGGGACTAACAAGTGCTATAAATAAGTGATAATGTGGTGATGTCTTAGAAGCAGGCAGAGGGAAAATTAAAGGCCCGCATCAGTCACTAAGTGATTAAAAAAAAGGCCAAGGCCGAAGGTGCAATTAAAGTAAAAATATATGTTTTATTACTCAGCTAAAAATTCCCTGAGTGTTTTGCCGACACTCTTCACCAGGGGAATCTGTTAGTCTTTTCAGTGTTCCTTCAACAAGAGTACCAGCTGGGCAGCCAAAAATAAAATATATTTTTACTTCCACCATCAGGCAGAGGCTGGCTTTCCATTCATTGACCTGTCCAAAAGTCAAGCCAATGGTAGGTGATCCTTTTGTGAGGATCGAAAAATCTTTCTCCAGATCTACAGGTTCACTGAGTCAGGGCCAAACGTGAAGTGAAGGAGGAGGCACCTTTTTGTTCAGTTTGAGAGACGGAGGATGGGTGGTTGACAGAGAAAGGGGGCTCTATGGGTGAGGGAAATCTACAGCCACCTTCCCTTGCTTGCCTCCCCTGCACTAGGGGCCCTTTGATCCCCCGGCTGGTCCCCTTAGCAGAAAAGTTACCATAAGCAGAGGTCATTTCGGGGGGGATCGCAGTACCCCCGGGTGAGGTACGGGGGGCGGGGCACATGACGAAGCCCCGCCCCCCGCTTCCGGCCCTCATTCAGCCAGGAGGAGGCAGGAGAAGAGGGAGGATAAGTTGCTTCCTCCCTGCCTCTCCCCACCCCTGCCTGCCTGGGGCCAGGGAGGGCCTTAGCGGGGCTTCCTTGCACTCCCGCCGGCCTTGCA